CAGCCACTCAGAGTCCTCCAGGGCGCACAGGAAGGTGTGGGGGCCGACCTCCGGCGGCGGGCAGCCGGGCACGCAGGCCTTCAGCAGCTTCTTGAAGCTGGCCTTCACCTGCCGCGCCTCGAACACCTCGATGGGCACCAGCTCCCACTGCTGCAGGGGGTCCGGCCGCGCGCCCTGGGGAGCAGCGGGGTGAGGGGCGCCCAGGGCCCCCGCCTGGCCCGCCCCGCCCCGCCCCTCCCAGTCACCTTGAGCTGGGCCTTGTCCCCGATGATGTAGAGGGCCGCTCGCTGGGGTCGCAGGAAGCCTGGGTCGGGCGGGGCCCCGTTGGCCTGGGGCGGCCCCAGCGCGTCCCGCCCGGCTAGCCGGGAGCCCACATCAGCACCGAGTCCACCGCTGCGCCCACTGGCCCGGACGCTGCCCCATTTCCCTGCGCAGAGAGCGGGGGTGAGCGCCTGGCGGGGGCGGAGGGCCACTTACCTGGGCAGAGCTCCCGGCGCGTGGCGGGCGGGCGTCAGGCGGTTAGTGCCAGGGCCGCGGGGCCAGGCGGCCTCGCTGGGGCATGAGGCCGCAGGGACGTTAGTGCCCCAGACCACGGGCGCGCGGGCTGCCGGCGCCAGGCGAGGGGCCGGCCTGCGTGGCCAGTACAGTACCTCGGGGCGCGGTCCGTCTGCAGACCGAGGCCGCCATGGGGCCGGACAGCGTGGTGACCCTGGCTCGGGGGCTGGGCGCTGGGGGCACAGCAGAGAGAAGGCTCAGGCCGGCCCAGCCCGCTGTGCCCACGGGGTAGCCCTGGGTGGGCGCAGGGCTGGGTTCCCGGCTGCCCCCGGGGCAGGCCCGCCATCTCCGGGGAGACCCCTCTAGTCCGGCCACGCGGGCTCCGTCCCCAAGGCACTGTCCAGTGGCCCAGGGCACGCAGCCAGTCTCCCCTGGCTCCTGCCTTGCAGAGGACAGGCAGGACAGCAGTGCAGCCGCCCGGCGAGGACCTGGCGGGGCCACGCTGTGACCCTCGAGCAGCTGAGCTGCCCAGAGCTCACGGCCACAGGCCAGAGCGGCCCACGCCTGCTGGTGGTGCCAGGAGGCAGCCAGCGCCCGAGGAACCCACCCCAGACCCTCGGAGCCGCCCATCGCAGAGAGGACTGGCTGGCCCCTGGCCCAGCACACGGTGGCCGCTGTGAGGGGCACACCGGGGGAAGGCCCGGGGTAGCGGTCAGGGACCCCAGGGGCAGACCACATCGGCCGGCAGTGGAGGGCAGCAGAGGCCCGCCCCGAGCAGGTCCGGGCAGCCCCACGCGGTGCCCAGCGCCCACGACCGTCCGCCATGGCGCCTGTGTCCATGGGCCCACCGTGAGGGACAGAGGCCGTCAAGGGCCTGTGGGCAAGGGCAGGGTGAGACGGAGGGCCCCGGGCTCGGCCCGCGCGCCGGGGT